ATAGCAGCACTTCGCCTGTATGGTATTGCTGCAACACGATCACAACACAACAAACAGACAAGCTAGTAGCTGCACACACAAACGAGTTTCGGGGAATTGCCACCACAACAGTTCCGTGGCGGAGAAATACCGGCGGAAAATCGGGAAAATGGCCGGGACGGAGCTGCGGGCTCGACCAAACGCAACGCGCGGCTACGATGTCGGAGGGTGAAAGCGCGGGACCTGCCGACGCCTCACAGGCCTCACAAGCCTCACAGGCTAGTGCTGGTGGTCCTTCCTCTGCGGATCAGGGAGCNTAAACGAGTTTCGGGGAATTGCCACCACAACAGTTCCGTGGCGGAGAAATACCGGCGGAAAATCGGGAAAATGGCCGGGACGGAGCTGCGGGCTCGACCAAACGCAACGCGCGGCTACGATGTCGGAGGGTGAAAGCGCGGGACCTGCCGACGCCTCACAGGCCTCACAAGCCTCACAGGCTAGTGCTGGTGGTCCTTCCTCTGCGGATCAGGGAGCTGCCGCTGCGGACCCGAAGTAAACTGGCGAGGCTATATGATGCTAGCCGCCAACGACCCCGTCAAAAACAGCAACGGTAAACGCGCGTACCCGGAGCCCCACTTCCCGATCAAGCGGTCAGGACCAGTGGGAGGGAAAGGGAGCTACCCCATCCGGTTCAAACTGAACGCGGCGGCCTACACACGGGAAATCTGCCCGTGCGACGGTCAACCGGTGGGAAACAACGGCGCGGCGAAAGTTCTCCAGGTGCCTCGGAAGCGTATCATCGAGTGGCTGAAGCAGGAGGAGCAGCTCAGGGAGAAGGTCAGCGCCAACCCCAAGCTTTGGAAGGCCAAGCAGGTTCACAGCGGAGGGAAAGCTTCGACAGTCGACGCCGAACAATCGCTTGTGGACCACATCAACGAGCAGCGCAAGCAGCACCGCGGTTGTGGTAATCGGGAGGTGATGAACAAGCTGCTCGAGCTGAAGCCTGACGCCCTTGGCGGGATGGCGGCGAACGCGAAACCGGAGGAGGCGCTGGCTTTCAAAGTCAAATTCAACTCCTGGTACCAACGGTTCCGCAAGCGGAATGGGTTCAGCATCCGCCGGCGTGTCAGCGTGGGCGAGAAACTGCCGAACGGGTACAAGGGTATGGCGTGGGCGACGGTGATGAAGCTGCGCGAGGCGCTCGAAAAGCGCGCCGGTGAGATCTACGCGCGGCGCCACCCGCCGGCACCTCACGAGAGCCCCATCAAAGGTGAGGATCTGACTTCCGAGCCGCTGGCGTCTGTGGAAGCGGAGGTTTTCGAGGAACTCGGCAACATGGACTAGACGCCAGTCCAGCACAAGATGCCGGTGGAGACCACTCTGGAGAAGACCGGTGCAAAGGATGCTCGCATCAGCACAGGAGGTGAGGGCAAAATTTTGTGTGGTGTGCGGATTTTTTGTCGTTGGACGATTTTTTAAGACACATGTTTTGTTTTTGCGTGCCGGCACACGTTGCGATGTAGCTCTATCGGTAGACACAGGAGGGTTGCTACCTTTTTCTGCGGGAATATTCTACACTTCCTTTTTCATTGCATCCAAACTATCAACCAACTTAGTTTTCGAAACGTCCGGTACCGTTTGCATCCATTGTATCAACCACACACCGC